TCGTTGTACATCCCTTCCAACTGAAATAGTCCTATTCTATTCTATTCTATTCTATTCTATTCTCTCTTCATTTCAATCCATTCTTCAAAACTTGATTTGTCATAGAATCACAGAATAGTTTGGGTTGGAAGGGACCTTTAAAGGTCATCTAGTCCAACCCCTCCTGCCGGGGGCAGGGACATCTTCAACTAAATCAGGTTGCTCAGAGCCCCGTCCAACCTGACCTTGAATGTTTCCAGGCATGGGGCAGCCACCACCTCTCTGGGCAACCTGTGCCAGTGTTTCACCACCCTCAGCGTAAAAAATCCCTTCCTTATATCTAGTTTAAATCTACTCCCCTTTAGTTTAAAGCCATTCCCCCTTGTCCTGTCGCAACAGGCCCTGCTAAAAAGTTTGCCACCATCTTTTTTATAAGCCCCCTTTAAGTACTGATAGAAGAATCTGATTCTGAAGAATTCTGATTTTCACAAGTAAACAATTTAATTCTAGATGTTCAGCAGCACATATTTTACTCCATTTTGAGAACTGATCTGAATATACTATCAAGCATATGTAGACAGCTTCTCTATTTTGGGGGGAATATTTCATCTCTGTTCTAGATCAAAAGGGCATAAAAGACTGGCCTAAGTTCTGCAGAGATGCAGCAGCTTAGGAAGAAACACTTTTATTGCATAGCATAATGAATGGTAGAAGCTTATTGAGGAATGACCACAGTATTCAGAAAAATGGAGATTCTGAGTAGTGCAGCTGCTTTTGAAGATGGTGGTGTAGGTTCTTGGAGCAAGGAGTGTCAACCTGTCATTGTAAACAACCTCAGGATAGGGAAGATAGCCTAATTTGCTTATAACTGCCAGTTCAGTACTTCTTCAGGAGGAGTTATGCTTGTTGGCCATATTCATCTGACTTGGAACCATGATCTGTACATTAGTTTGCTGCTTCATTTCTTGCTGCTTCATTTCTTATGGCTGTGCTGTGAAAGATGCAGAATAGTTAAAAAGTGATACATGAGCTTTGCAAAGGACAAGCAATAATTCAAGATACTTAATCACAGTGAAAGCATGGTCTTTACTGAATATTAAATGTTCACTTGAAGAATGCAAATTAAGACCGAGTGTTTGACATAAGAAAAAAGATTGTGTTTGAGATCTATGATATAGAAAGAACACTGATTTATGGTAAGGTATACTGGCTCCTGTAAGGATTTCTGTCTTAGTGTTCGTATTGTACTCTAGCTGAAATTTGTCGTACTACAGAACTCTTCCACATGTTGTATTAAAAATAAGTTACTTTTTATTGCAGTATGATTTAACTTTTTTGTGTGTGGTATTGCAACGAGAACCCAAGTTATAAAGTTGCAAATTCATTACGAATTTTTACAGTTGCCTACTGACAGTTTTTAATGTGCCTTAGTTATTTAAAGTAGGACTCACAGGGACTCCAAGATCTCCTTTCTGGCTGATAATACCAGATCTGAGCCAGTCTTTTTGTACATATGGGTAAAACTATAATAATGTGGCATTACTTTGCATTTACTAACTTTGGACTCTTCTTATATGTTGTTGCCCGGCCACTTGATATCAGAAAAATCTTTGCAGCTCTCAGTACTTGGTGTTTTTTAACTGCATTTAATGTTTTTTGGCTGTTCAGCAAACTTTGTCCTTTCATTAGTATCCACACTTGTTACCAGCTCATTATCGCTATGGTTCTCCACTGATAATCTCCCTCTGTTGTGAAGACTGACTGGTTATTCCTCTTTATCTACTGTCTTTTGCTTGGGAAATGCAGGTGTAGAAATGTTGTTGCACAATGCTTTTTTTTTTGTAGTGAACGTTCTACTTCTTTCCTTGGCTGAATTATATTTTATTTTTCACATTTTAAAGCAGAGGTGGTTGCTTTCTATTACTTCTTGAACACAATTTAACTGTGGTCATTTATTTCTGTATACTCCATTTTTGTTTAGATTTTCTTTGTCATCTTAGACTTCTTTTTATCATGACTGTTAATGTTTTTAATTTATGTTGGTTTTTGGGTTACTACCATGACTGTTAATGTTTTTAATTTATGTTGGTTTTTATTATGACTACTTTAAAAAAATAACCCTCCCCCCACCTTCTTAAATTTTTTCCATCACCGTTAATTAGTTCGTTAATTTGTTTCCTTTACTGAGGAAGTTGATTTTAATGATAATTATGATCATTTTTATTGGCTGAAATATGCTTAAACTGCAGTTAAGGGCAAATCAGGTACATTTTAATGTTCTCTGTGGTGAAATAAGCAGTCACTCTGATGGACTATAAATCTCTTGCTGCCAAATGGACAAGTAAAATAATTGTAATACCTACTGGATAGTTCGTAGCCCAGTAGAAGATTCTCCATAAAATCAATTTTATTAGCATTCAGTGTTTTTTTTGATGCAGATTTGCTGAGATGTTTTATATATACAGACAGATTGTTTCTAATAGTACTGAAACCTCCCATCACTTCAGACTCAGTGAGCTCTATTTCAGTCTGTTTTAAATGTTACGTATTAGTATATTAATTGACATTAGCAAGCAAATACAGTTTGAACTATTTTAGTCTGTTGTGAATTATTTTAGTCTGTTTTAACCATTCTATGTTGGTTTATTAATTTATATTAGCAAGAATTTTACAATGAATAGTGTTTGAGGAAAGGGGGATCAGTCTGTATTGAACCTCTGCATTCCAAATGAGGTATTACTAGTTTTCTCCCTGTTTTTAGGTCCATCTCTTATCAAAAACAAATGGTGGGATTCATCTCACCTAAATTAGGTATCTGAAAGTTGTATATCTAAATATTATCATAGAATTGTTGAGGCTGGAAGGGATCTCTGGAGGCTCTCTGATCCAACCCTTTTGCACAAGCTGGGCCAACTACAGCCAGTTGTCCAGGTCTATGTATGTATCTTTTGAATGTATCCAAGGATGGAGAATCCACAAACATGATTTTTTATCCTAGATTTTCTGCATAGAAAGAAATGGAAAGAAGTAGACACTTCCAGAAGGGGCTTCATTTCATCTTAGGATAAGCATCTAAGAGAGTTTAGCTGAATGTCTTCTACAGGTGCCTATTTTACCTCTGTGTGTTTTTAACATAATCTCAGAGAGGCTTATCCAGGTGGAGAGATACCTGAGAAGACAACAACCCAGCTGGTGAAGTGTGCACCGGTTACTGCTGTTTTCAGAAATAGAAACTCCACCTGGGTTTCTTTAAAAGTGTGGGTTTTTCCTCTGTGAAACTCTTTCATGATTCTAAAGAATGACCATAGAAATACTCTGCTTCTAATTTTGACAGTTTTATTGCCTGCCCTTGGTATACGTTATGTGTTTACCAAATATGCAAATATATGATATGCAGTCACAAGTTCTAAACTAAAATACTACTCAATTAGGATAATAGTTTTATTTGAATGTAATCAAATGTCTCAGGAGAACTAAGGAGGTAGTCAGTTTATATATTTAGTATATTAGAAGCTTTTATGTTAGAAAAATATAAATTGGTTATGAGCAATTAATTGATAGAGAAAAAGTAACTTGTAAGTGGATGAAAAATAATAAATGAGGGTAGAAGATAAAGCAAGTCCTTGCTTAGTTGTACTAATTCTGTCTGAAGATTGGGAGTGAAAGAAGACTTTGAGTATTTGGATAGGTTTAACCATCAAAAAAAAGTTTGCATAATATTTCAGCTTGCTTCTTGTTTGGAGTTTAATTTGAAGGCAATACCAACTGCTTTAAATAGGCTATAAAATAGCCTTCTATTAAAAGTGACCATTGAAGTTGTGCACTTATAAGTGATGAATTCTTTGAATATCTTCAATTTAAAACATATTATTGCAATTTCAATATATAACTTCCTGAAACAAATAGAAAGAGTGTCTTAAAACTGCTTTAGAATTAATTTATTCTGCTCTTTTGCCATTCTGAATTAGGTAATATATTTGCAGTTATTGAAATGTAAAATTAGTGCTTGCAAAATTCTTCAAGGTTACTAGAATAAAGTAGGATGCATAAGAGTCAGGCTTTGTTTCCTTCAAAATTGAAAGATGTTTCTGCCATTAAAAGGGGATTATTTTTTAAACTAAGTTTCATATTCAGTTCAGTAAGGTGTTCTGAGTTCATCTTTTTAAAGTTACACAAATGGCTGATTGAAATTGGTGAATTCCATTCCTTAAGATATACTTGGTTTTGACTATAACTTTTGCAAATTTTTGCTAATTTTTTTTTTTCTTTTTTTTCCCCTCCTAAAATGTGCCCAGTAGTTGTGCTAGTTAATTGGAGCTCAGGACACTGATAGCATTTTGCAGGTATCTTGGTAGATAGGAGTCAGGCTATAATTTCATCAGTACTGCTGTTAAATCACTTTTCATCTGAGTGCTTGTTCCTCACGCAGTGCTTTCTCTCCCTTGCAGCAGCAGTAGGTTTCCGTGGCCACACGATGAACTGATCTGCGGTATAATTAAGCAAGTTTTCAATGTTTGCTTTGGTCCACAGCAAATCGCTGATTCTTTTTCTGAGCATGACTGCATGACTGTTTGGGTGGTACAATGGAAAGGGCAGTAAGGTCTTGCAAACACATAACTAAGAGCAAATGTTGGCTTATATCAGGAGAAAACATAGGTAAATTATTTTCAGTGTCTTTTTATTTCTGAGTAGGCAAATTTCTCTTCAGTGAACTGTAGGAAAGCTTCAATTGCTTTTGAGCTTTTCAGATTCTGCAGCTTCTGCACTACATCTCTCTGGGCCAGGCTACCATTTCAATTACTTTATAGGAAGGAATATTTCAAATATTTTTAAATTCATTTTATGAAAGTGTCATATGACAAAATTGAAGGTAATATTTTATTATATTAGAGTGTATATTTTGTACAAGCTATGTTTTGCATAGCATGATTGTTAATTTGCTGTTTTACAGATCATAGCTGTGAGTTTCTCTATCAAAATTTCCTCTCTCATCATGCAAAAAATATTCAGTGTTGGTCAGAATGGAGGTATGAAAGACACTAAACTATGTATTTCACATTGTAATACTGTTCTTGTTTTCTTTTGTAGCTGGTTGGTGGCGAATTTGATCTAGAGATGAACTTTATAATCCAGGATGCAGAGAGCATTACATGCATGTCAGAGCTTTTGGAGCACTGTGATGTAACGTGCCAAGCAGAAATCTGGAGTATGTTCACAGCAATTCTACGTAAAAGTGTCCGTAATTTACAGACTAGCACAGAAGTTGGCTTAATTGAACAGGTACTGCTGAAGATGAGCACTGTGGACGACATGATTGCAGGTATAAATTGCCAACTGATAAAATAATTATTGCATTCTTGAACTGTCAACGTTTTGTGATTATGGAAGGGTTTGGGATAACTTGGTTTTTACTTAAAGTGATATTTTGGTTAGTAGTGCTATTAAGGTAGAAGGACTTTTTTACCAATTTCAGAAAAATGACAAAAATATATCCTTAGTTTAAAATATATGCAGATATATTGTTTAAAATAACTGCCTGTTAATTCATCTGAGAAGATAATGTTATCTTTGTGATAAAAAAAAGCAATTTTGAACATAATTAAGAACAGTACATGTTAGACTACTTACCCGTGAAGGTAATATTTTACGTTTTAAGTGCATTGATAATTTTGAGTAACTCAGATGTTAGAATTGTTCTTATGTTCCACTTTAAATATAACCGATATCGGACAGCGTATCAGAAATTATTCATAGCTTTGAATGCTGGACATTTGGATGTTATTAAACAACCTTTTCATAATGTATAGCCGTGCTCCCTATAATATCTCTTCTGTTTTTATACCTGTGTCTTTTAATGTCCTATAATTTTTTTACAGCATTAAAAAAATAGCATACTTTGTTCGCTTACTGAAAATAAGTGATGAAGTTGCACAGCTAAGGTTTTCAGAGTATGTTTGAAGGAGTTTGTGTTATTCCATACTACGTCCTGTCAGTAGTAGGGTACAGATTGTAATCCTGAATTACTTGGTTAGAGGAGCAGGTTTGGTTGTCACATTTAAATATGACAGCTAAGAACTACATATGATGAGTATTTATCTACTTATTTTTCTTGGGGAGAAACTTAAGCCAAGCAGTTTCTTTCAACTCAGTGTGAAGGTAGTTCTTCATTTTTACATAGTTTGGGACCGATAGTAGGATTTTTAAATTGTGAAGCATTTTTGAAAGACTGAAGAGGTTTGTTTTCCATAATTGTAAGATTTTAGTTGATGATCTGATTCCTGACACATATATAGGCTTTGTGGAACAGTAAACCAGTGAGGATTTCAGACCAGAAACAAGAGGAGGGTAACAGCAGCATGAAAACTGGATAAGTCAGGAATGTTTTTGTCCTTGGCCTTTTTCAGCATAAAGGCATCTGTAATATTAAGTATTTGAAAAAGATATATTCTGTATTTCAAAGCAAGTCTCAGCAAACATCTTGTTGATTGGAAATGTATGCGTAAATGCTAAAACCAGAAGTGTTATGCTAAATATTGTACTGTGAGATTCAGACTGAAGTATAACAGATCAGTAGGTTCACAAACCAATGATTTTCACCAAGTATGTTTTGTTTTGCAGGACTTGTAAATATGTCAGAATAGTGTAAGGGCAAAGATACTGTTTTATTCCACATTAAATATAAGACATTAGTTGATGAAAACAAACATTTTTATCTTGAAGTTTTTCAGGGTTTCAGTCATGGAAATAATGTGCTTACATCAGTAATCATACCAATAAAATTTGTCCAATTTGAGCTCCCCTAAATAGTACTTCTGTATGTGGCATATATAACTGTGATGATGTCCCTGTTACAGAGAATGTTTAAAAAATGCTTAGCTAATTGCAGAAGTCAGAAATCAAGAATCATAGAATAGAATCATAGAATCATAGAATCATTGAGGTTCACATTAAATATAAGACATTAGTTGATGAAAACAAACATTTTTATCTTGAAGTTTTTCAGGGTTTCAGTCATGGAAATAATGTGCTTACATCAGTAATCATACCAATAAAATTTGTCCAATTTGAGCTCCCCTAAATAGTACTTCTGTATGTGGCATATATAACTGTGATGATGTCCCTGTTACAGAGAATGTTTAAAAAATGCTTAGCTAATTGCAGAAGTCAGAAATCAAGAGTATAGGATCTGGCTTCCAGGAGCATTTGGGAATTGAAAAATCACTCTGAATTGACAACTATTAATATAAACCTGGGGTAGTACATTAATAAAAAAATTAATGGAGCCTCTACCCCATTAATCTTGTTCTGAGAGTAGTCACACAGTACTTCAGAAAGAGACCTTCCACAGAAAAAACATGAGTAAGCTTGCTCTTTGTATATTTACACTGATGATGAAAGCACATATTTAATTTAAAATCAAAACTGAAGAGTGGAGTTCTGATGGCATTTTAGCTCTACAATGTGTGTCAAATTATCTAAATAGTCTTCTGTATATCATGAGCAGGGATCTAACAGAATCCCACTTTGTAGGGTCTTTCTCTGAGAACTGTAAATAGATGAGAATGTGGGTTTTTTGAGAATTTTTCTGACAAAGACATGGAAGCAACCAAATTCATCATTTTGCTTTTATCTCTTGATTTCTGCAAGCACCTCACCACCCTTTTATAAGTGGCAACAATGTTGGTAATAAGTCAGAAGTAATAAATATGTTCATGTAATAATTAGTCCAATGGTAGGCGCTTGATGACAAAATCAGTGACAATGTCTGTGTTCCCTAATCTACTATGCAGATGTTGAGGTCATAATTGACTCCAAATGATTGTAGAACTGCTTTGCCCCAAAAATTTCTATGAACTTTCCAAACCCAGAGAATAAAGTAAGAAATTTTGTGGCAAAATGATTTTTAACATTCAGAGAGGATGTTTTGAACAAGAGCTGTATTAGTGCTTACTCCTAGGAAGTAAGTACCACTTTCTGCCCAAAACAGTTGCTAATACTCTGTCAGCCCAGCCTTTTGCAGTTGGCTTTCATCATCTGTGAAGGATACAGGTTTTCTGGTTTTTATTTGTGTTTTTTTGGGGAGTTGTTTGTTTGTTTTTAGGTCATCTCGCTTGCTCCTTTGTGAAATGCTGCGAATAGACCCAGATAAGGTTTAAATAGGCAAGACAGGCATAATCTCTGTTTTATGTTCTGACAGCACACTTTCAGGACCAGTCTAAGTCTGAAGCCACTCTTCTCTGGTTTTATGAAAGTAAGACAACAGCAAATAAACACGTACCCAACTTTTTGCAGTGAAAAGAACTTGTCTGTCTGTTTAGATGAAGACTGTCAGATTCATGAGGCTTCTCAGCACTTTAAATATCTCACTTCTGAGATTTTGCAGATTCTGTGGTCAAGAATAAAAGCTTAATCACCTTGAAAGTCTCAACTGCAATCCAAATGGGATCATTGCCACTTGTATTCCAGTTTGCTTTCCAGAAGCATCACCTGTCAGAAGTCATATTTGTACTGTGATAATCTGTTATACTAAGATAGGGGATGGTCAGCCATTTTATCAATAGTTAAGGGGAAATTACTAAAATGTTTGCATAGGCGATTGGCACTTTTTTTTTTTAACAGCTGCACAAGATCTTCCTTGAGGAATTCACTGTTTAAAGTTCTCTATTTCCAGGTGATGAGTAGTGAAGCAGATCATCTGCTCTGAGAGACTCTTTGGGATAGCATGTCTGTAGTACCTTCAGAGAAGTCTGAATGGTGGATGAAAAAGTAGCCTGAAATCGCACAGAGTGGATATGTCTCCCTTGAGCCCCATTTTATTTCCTGCAGTTCTGTTGTGATGCTGTAGGTAATTGTTCTAAAATTGCTGGAACTGCATTCTTAAGCACTGAAACAGTTCCTGGTTTTTAAGCAAAAACATTAGTTTTTGACTGCTCTGTCATTAATGGGCTGTTAACAAGCATTTCTCTTTCAACTGGTTCCATAAGAAAAACTGCAAAATTATCACATTCTCTATTGCCAACCTGTAGAAATTAATATACTTCACCAACAGAGTTAAAATTCACAATCTCAAGGCTGTCTGTTATTAAAAGGTTAAGGAGGCATGAGGGTAGTTTTCCTGAAGTTGCATTTCCAATGCTGTTTAATACGTCTTCTAAAGTTAATGCCATACCATTCATTTTGATATATGCTCATCGTACCTTGAAAGAGAGGCAGGCTCTTTTACCATTGTATTTTCATATTAAATGACTGAATTAAGAATTCCTTCAAGGTTTCTGGTTAAGTTATAGATCATATATAAACTGCTTCGTATGAAAGTAGTCAGAAGGTGCCATTAACAGAAATAAAATCTGTTGCATTCAGTGCATTTTAGAAATGCATTAAAAATGAGAAATGGTGCCTGTTTTCTCCTTCTGGACTTAATATTATTTTACACAATCTTGTTTCTGAAATGAGATCATAAATACCAGTTATATATGTGATCTTAATATAAAAAAAAAAAATGAGGTAAACATTAAAAAAAATCCAATTGTAGTATGTTTTGTGACCTTTGTCCATTTATAGATGAGTGGATTATTAGGATTTATAAACCAGATGTGGACTGATTCTTTTATATGAGATTTCTAATAAGTATGAATAAAGTTATGTAATAGAGTACAGTTCTTTTTAAATCTTGTTCTATTGAAACAAGAAACAAACCTTCTTTAGAGGTCTTTACAGCAATATTTTTGTGTAGCATTAAGCGCTTCGACTTCCACAGATGTTCTTTGCTTTATTTTTACTTGTTACCTACTGGGCTTCAATCTTTCATGTCTTTGTTTTACCCAGAGTTACGTTGTTAGGGAGCTTACATTTATTTCTCTCCATCAATGTTTTATTCATTATTTATAAATATGTATTTCTAATGCCTGTGGGTTATCAATATCTTCAGTAGAAATAAGAAATTTTCTGTGCCGTAAGGTAGTACAGGGCTATAACAATGAAACAAAGCAGCATATGTTCAGTGATTTTAAAAACCTGCCAATCATTTCTGTGTTTGACTGTCTTAATTTACACTTTTGTCATCTATGTTAGAAGATTTATTTTTTAATGATGTTCTGATTTTCACCAAACAATTTTGCTTCTACGTAACACTTTTTCTCTGTAAAGGAAGCAAAATTTGAAGTAGCTTGATCTGAATAGCAAGCTAAGACTACAGAATAAGAATTGGGACATTCTCAGCCAAAGATTGGTATTCACTTGTGCTGATTTCCCTTTCTGAGTTTTCAGTGTTTTGCTGTTCTCAATTTCTGATCACATACAATATGTGCAATCACTGCCGGCTTCACATTGCAGACTGGAGACTGTACAGTGAAGGGGGCGGATGCTTGTAGGTATTAGAGGAGGAGCTGAGCCATGGAATTCACCGTCATGAAAGACAAGGGCTTTTAGTTTTCTTAGCTTTATTTTGCTTTCCCTCAAGAAATTCTGTCACAAATACAATGTGGCACTAATTTTAAAGGGAAGATTAAATAAACTCTTCCTTTTAAGAAAGGGAAAAAGAAGTCTATACTTGAACATTAGGAATATATCCAGATCTTATGGTGAATATGTCTGCAAGTTACAGTGTTTTTCTTTTGCCTTTCCTGACATGCAGTTTCACTCACTGAACAGCTTACTATGTCTCCTGTAAATTAAATGATAGTTCATTCTTCACACATGCCTTTTGCTTACTGAGGACCAGAGGTTGGTTTCAGAGTGGAACAAGTTAAATAGATATTGATGGTTTTACTCAAAAACACATACGTAGGGATTTGCAGAGAGAAAATTTGTTTTAAAACAAAATATCAATGCAAAATGTCCTTGAAAAGGATGGATGCTTTTTAAGCACCTGGAAGAGTCATCCTTTCACTAATGAACAAGAACATGTAGTCCTGCAAAAAGCTTGTTCATGTCTTCTACAAGTTTTATGGGGGGAATTTTCTGATTGTTGAGTAGATTGAAAAAGTTTGTTAATGCTGATTCTATTGTGTCATAGCTTTTTTTGTTTTGGAAACTCTGTACTTCACTGCTTGATCTCTGAATTAAATATCTTATGCCACATCTGTGAAGATAAGTAAATTGTTCTTCCTCCTGCTAGAGGAAGTAGTAATTCTTAGTAGTGCTATTCCAGAAGAAAGTGTGGACTATAAGGTGAGGTCCAGCATGCCACAGGCTAACAAATTCTTAAAATGAAATTCTGTGTTTTAAAATAAAGATCCAAGCACTAGCAGTAATTTTAAACCTGGTATTCTCTGAAAGGCAGGCTATGTAATGCTATTACTTTAAACGTTTATGGGTTTTGAGATGTTTTAATGAAAGCTGTATTACATAAATTCATTAGCAATTTTGATCACTTCTTTTTATTGTGGTCTTTTATTGTTTTCTTACTATGATTTCTGGAGGTTGTTTGTTTGTTTGTTTGTTTTCCCTGGCCTTTCGTTCTGGTAAAAATTGGAAGCATTATCACTGTAGCAAAACTGTGGGAACCATACAAATTTTCAGTATCATGTGCTGTGCTTAAGTTAAAGAATAATATCAAGCATCTTTTAGGTCAGAAATTTTTGAAAAATATTAATTTCAGAGGAACGAAGAAACCCTTATCCCAAAAGTAGAAAGGAGCAAGCAATAAGTTCATAATGTATGATGAATGTTGTGAAATGGGAAGAATTAATTCTTCATAAATTTAATAGATACTTTGTTCAAAGTGTGACGCAAAATCTAAAACTGCATATGTAAATTTATTTCTAAAATAACTAAAACAATGAGAATATGAAATCCTTTGTAAAATATTTAAGTCAACTAAGTTTGATTTTTAGAATTTATGAATACACTTACTTTTAAAGGTATTAACTCTTTCAGCTGTTTTGTCAAAACAATGAAATTCAGAGTTCAGAATAACTTTATTTTCCTTTGAAGATCTTCTAGTTGATATGTTGGGGGTTCTTGCCAGCTACAGCATCACTGTCAAAGAATTGAAGCTTTTGTTCAGCATGCTTCGAGGCGAAAATGGAATCTGGGTAAGCTGTGATCAGATAAAGCATTAAGTGTCATTCCATTAGAGCCTGAAGTTAACATAAATTGTCTTCTGGGACATATAATCTTGATTATTTTTTTTTCATGTTGATTGAGCATATGTTTATGAAGTATTTCTGCTAACTGCTTTAGAGTTAATTTGCTGTGTTGTTTGAAAACCGTCCAGTTTCCGTTGTAGCCTGGAGAGTACAAAAATGATTGTATTGACTTTTGTGCAATTTTCTTGTTTTCACAGCCAAGACATGCGGTTAAACTATTATCAGTCCTTAATCAGATGCCACAGAGACATGGGCCTGATACCTTTTTCAACTTCCCAGGCTGTAGTGCTGCAGTAAGTTCTCAACCAAAATACTACAACTTGAGGAACAAATAAATTGCTCCTCATTTGCATTTCCTTTCATTTGTTTTGAAATTCTTGAAAAGGAAACAAGAGGGGAAATACATGCTTGAGTAGTGTAGACCTTGCCTTCCATAGGTTTGCAAGGTAGTTGTAGTGTTGAGAAGTTGCACTTGTGAGGGTGGAATGTCAAATAGCAGATTTTTGTCTGGGGAAGTTATCATAAAAGTAAAAACTGAAAATTCCGAAGAACACTTATTTGAATAATGTAATTGATATTATATAAAGCAGAGGCTTGAGGAGAATATAGTGATGAGCTTGTCCATGTCATTGCAGTTTACAGTGACAGCTTAGTCATAAATTTTATTATATCTTTTTCTTTTTGTCTGAACTCCATCAGCTCTTTTAATGATTTAAATGCGGTCTTCCTTTGGCTTTACTTTTTGAGATAACTTAAAACGAAGAAATTGTATTCCTTACTAAACCTTCTCAAATAGATATTCTCTCTTCCATTCACTGCATGTACATTCAGAAAAACCTACAAATAAATTCAAATATTGTATACAGATTTTTATATATGATTATTAAGGCAGTAAATACAAATGCTTGAAACCGAGAAATCTGGATTTGAGGTTCAGTTCCATTCTGGTATGGAATAGTATATGCTCATGGTAGAACTTGGAATCTTTTAAGGGAAAATAATCCTGAGATCCCTGTCTTTTCATGCTAGTGCATTAAGGGTGGTAGGAGCTTCTCTTGGGCTGTTCTACTTGTACTTCCTCAATAGCACTGATTTTCTTCAAGCATAAAATACCACCTCTTGTTCTTTGTGAATACCGCTGTTGGTGTGGCAGATTGCATGAGGGAAATAAACTGGCTGAAAATCACTGTTTTTCACCTGGATTATTTTTGGCTAAATCACTTCCTTGATCTTGTTTGCTATTCAACTGCACAAACAGATGTGTCAGCAAAATGCATAGGGCGGATTGTCTAAGGAATTAATTACTGAGTTTTGAAAAAGAGCGTTTCATTTGCTACTGCTAAATTAAAACCACAGTTAACCTCTACTAAAAGTATATGCAGCAGCAAGACAGCTGTTGCAGAATATGAATGTCTACAATGACAGATGCTGCTTTGGCATTTCTGGGCTTCAGAGGCAAACCCTGATGAAATGTCTCTCTTAAATTTAATTTTGTATCAGAGCTTCAAATAAAGTTTTGCAGGGGAAGAATTTCAAATATTCCTCCCTGTTCAAAGAGGTGCATCAGTTACAGGAGCATAAAGTTGATGGAAATGCCCAATAGGCATTTCTCTTTCCTTGGTTAGGATCTTGTTTCACATCATTGACTGCACACCTGTAAATCAAGAAATATGAGTTTCAAATTTACATTTGTTGAGTAGTGCATGTTGGATTACACCATGAAGTTCTGGAGCGGACCAAGGGTCCGTTACTTGTAAAATGACCCAAACAACGAAGCACTTCATTAGAAGGAAGAGGCTGGATAGGACTTAGTTTACTAGCACTGAGTTCAGGTTTTCAGGTGTGATGCACAGTGATGACATCAGACAGAGAAACAGCATAATGTTTACTTGGCATGATAAATATCAGATTCGCCCTCTTTAAAGTTGGGTGCATGCTCCTTATGTAACCAAAACTTCAGTGGTAGTATGAAGAGCCAAGAGTCTACTGAACCAGTCTGCTGATCTGCTGGTGAGAGCTGCTTCAATGTCCCAACTGAAGGGCTCTTCCCAGTACTGTGTACGTCTCTGCCAGTCTGTAGAAGTAGCACATTAGTCACTGTTGTGGTTTAACCTCAGTCGGCAACTGAGCACCACACAGCCGCTTGCTCACTCCCCCCCTGCCCCAGTGGGATGGGGGAGAGAATCGGAAAAGTGAAAGTGAGAAAACTCATGGGTTGAGATAAGACCAGTTTAATAATTGAAATAGAATGTAATAATAATAATAATAATAATAATAATAAATAATAATATACAAAGCAAGTGATGCACAATGCAATTGCTCACCACCCGCCAAA